ACTCTTTCCTGCCTATGCAGGGGGTCGGACTCGATGATCTATTGAGGTCCCTTCCAACCCTAACATCTATGAATCTATGAATATGCAGGTCTGAGAATTTGGAATCCAGGGTTTCTGTTCATGGTCATCAACGATTTACTGTCACTTAGTTTCTCTGTACCTCTACTTACCTATACAGAAAATGAGGATGCTATTTACAGTGTTTACTTCCCTCACCAGCTTCATGGTGCTTGACTACTGTTTGTAGTAATTGTTGGGACAGTGGCACAGAATAAACCTGGAAGGGCAGAGACTTAAAGCTATTTTTGTGCCCTCCTGATTCTGGGCGGTTCTGGGGATCAATAAGGTCCCCCGCATAACTTGGACAGCTCCACTGCATGGATGCAGCCACACTCGTTCTGGTCCTCGAGGCAGCCTATGCAGAGTGGCACAGCCTGCTCGAGGGCACTCTTGCTGAACCTAGCAGGTTTGCTGTTCTTACATGGACTAAGTGTCAAACCCAAGGACCACACAATGAGTCTAAGGCAGAGCTAGGTCATGAACCCTTGTATCCTGATTCCCAGTCCAGGCCCATAACCACATGACTGATCTGTCCTAATGTGTCTATACTGTAGTAGCTAGGCCCCAATGCATGTTCCCTGGTGGATAACTAGCAATGGACAATTTGGATGCAGGCATAGAGCTGGGTAGAAGCTTAATTCAAGTATGCAAACAAAACAAAACAAAATACCTTCCAAAAAGAGTATAATGTGCAGCATGGCTGAAAGATTTCACGTTACGGCAAGAAATTTCCACTTTCCCATTCTCAGCATAGTTAGGAAATGAGTAAGCTCCTGGGATTCATGCTTTGACATTCTCAGTTCGAACTGGAATAACATCTGTAAAATGCGGCCAAAGAGCATCTGTTTTTCTGTTCCAAAAATCACAGAACTAAAACAGCCGTTTCCCTGCCAAGCTATGCTGCAGAGTGAAATCTGTTCAAGAGGTCACCCTGCTTGCTCCCTTTGTTAGCTTCCTATGAAGCGAGGGCAAACAGTGAGAGGGAGGGAGGAGTTGTTGCACATCGAACGTCAAGGAAAAAAAATAAACTGTTAACTTTAGACTGAGCTTGATAAGTGTAAAGAGCTGATCAGTTGGCGGCTCAAAAGTGTTCCAATAAGAGCACAGAGACAGGAGATTTATATCCCAATCATACTTCTCCTTATATCAGTGGGAATAAGAGTCGAATCTGAAGCTCACTGTAGTCAATGTAAAGGCTTCTATTGATTTCAGCAGGCTTTAGTGACAGGAGCTGTGGGAGCTAGTTGCCAGTTTATTAATCCTTGCATTGTTTGATCCTGGCCCAAGCAGTTCTAGATGCAGTGGCTGAACAGCCAGCAATTACTGCATGCTAGACCTCCCCTTACTGCATCCCATCAATAGAGCTGTACTGATTCATAGGAAACAGCTTAGAGAAGCGACCCGGAGTAGAAAGGCCCTAAAAAACAAGTGACAGAGTTGGGAATAAAGCATTGGAGTCCTGTCTCAGAGTCTGCTTCTCTAGCCTGTAAATTTCGAGTTTGAAAAAAAATAAAAAATTGACTCATACTTAAATTGAACCCTGGGAGAAAGATGATAGAAGAAAAATTGGCAGGAGTTTGAACCTCTGCACCAATGCTATCCAGGACAGTAACCTATATCTTGTCACATGTTTTCTGTTTCTTTTAGATTTTAACTTATAGAGAACAAAATATTCAGTCATTCTTGTTGCCCAGGCTGGTGCTTTGACAGTGCAATGGTTGCATAGTTATGTTGTTGGGACAACAGTACCCTGAGAAGCCTGAACCTTTCCCGCTCACCTTAAAGAGAGACTCTGGAAGTTAATGAATTGGTCAGCAATAATGAGCGTGAAGCTCTGTATTGCAGCTGCTGAATGGGTTCCTTGGTATCTGTGTAGCGCCTAAGTGATCAGCAGTGTTGGAGAGGCAGAAACTTGTTTGCTGCATGGCATGTGGGGACTAGGGTAGCCATCATAGAGGACAGTCCGGTTGTCCTCTGTCCTGTATTGATATGAAACCCGACGCCTTTACATCCTCTATTTTTCTCTTCAAGAGGAGAGAAAGGTGTCAGGACATAAAGGCATTGAGTTTCATATAAATAGAGGACAGAGTAGCAGAAAACCAGAATGTCTTCTATGATGGCCACCCTAGTGGGGACAAACCCTGTTGGCCTAGATCAATTTGGCAGGAAGTGGGGCAAGAAGATGCTTCTTGTCTTTGCCCCTGAGTATTTTGGTCAGAGTGTGAACGAGGCAATTGAAGCCTTTGGTCTGCAACTGGAGCCCCATATACAACAGGTTTCATAAGGGTACAGGGGATCCCCGGCACAGATGAAGTTCCAGGCCTTGATTTTGCATTGTTACCGAAAGGCCAAGCTGAATAGGAGGTCACATTAGTCTGAATTTCTGCTTCAAGCACAATCTTTTTCCCTTTCAATCTGTTAGTGTCACAGTCTGGGGGGGTGGGGGCCTAATCTGGGCAAGACGTTTCCGAAATGGAAGTAGAGACTCAGCACTTTCTGTGGGTGGCCCCTGAAAAGCACTAATGGGCTGAACTGTAAATTGTCTCAAGGAGATCAGGACGGCGTGCAGGGAGGAAATTGCTGAAGGCAAACAGTTTTCTGGAAAGGAAAGGGAGTCAGATGGCTTGCTGGGAGCTGCAAGAGGCTTCCTGACCCCGGTTTGTTTATTTGCTGAATAGTTGCATCTCCTCCAGAGGACAAAAGGCCTGGCTTTATTTGTGGTGACTTAAAAATTATTGGGTCCAGTTCTCTACTCATTGGCTGCGTTTACACGAGACATCTAGTGTGCAGTTGCCTAGCTAACTGCACAGAAAAAAACTCAGTGCTATCCCGCTGCAGACTTTTTCTTTGCACAGCAGTGCATATGTAGACAAAGGGTGCTTCAGTGCAGGGCTAGCTGGCAGGTAAGGCCCTTGCTGAAGCACCCTCGTGCCACAGCCAGCTGCTCTGCAGCATGTGGAGCCCCACTGGAGCAGCCCTGGGCTGGCAGGCTGACCCCTTGGATGCCTTGCCAGCCCAGGCTGCTCTGACCAGGCTCCATGTGATGTGCACAAATAAACTCTGGAGCAATATTGTTCAAATGGTGTGCCCGGGAGCAAAAAACTCAGGAGCAATAATCTCTGCAGTTTATTTGTGGGCATTAATCGCATATGTAGACACAGCCACTAATAACCAGTGTTTAGACCCAGTATCCTCAGTGGAGTTTATGGCTTTTTTTTATATCAGTGATATTGGGAAGAATACAGCATTCATGGCCTGATAGTAAAATCCCTTCCCTAAACAGGATGTAGCAATTTTAAGTTGTATTGGTATGGCCCATTCATTTATTTACATTAGACCACAGCCACAATGTATGTTTTAATTAAATGAGAGCACTCTACCTCACAAGATTATGTGAGCCTGACTACATGAATAGTGTACAAAGCCTTAATATTCTCTGCTGGCAGATATTATTGTACATACATGCAAAATACTATCAACGAGCTGAGTTTATTTTGTGGTCCATAGTTTCTGAGCATTTTTTGGTGAATACCCTCTTGGTCTGCACTGTCCTGTCCTGATTAGGCTGATTGATCATATGTTATCACATACTGTCTCATTCCTCTCATGTGCTTTGGTCAAATTCAACTAGGTTCAAATTCGTTTAGTCATATTAACTTAATTGTCACGACCTATAGAATGCCAGTCCATTTGAAAAAGGAGGCATTTATTAAAGATACTACAAGCTATCTATATAAACAAGCTTCTACAAAGATCAAGTGCCAACTTTGTCTCTGTTTACTAAGGGTGACACCGCGTTTGGAGCTCTTTGTGGTGCGCAGACATCTATTGGCTGAATAATGAACTACAAGGAGAAGTGTTATACAGACAAAGGAGGACTACTTAGCATGGCAGATTATTTGGTAAATGAAGCTAAAGAATACCATACCCAACTGACTGAGATACAGTTTGATTGTGTTAAAGGATTCCAAGCACATAAATAACCCAGGATGTATTTTTCTTCTGTAGAGATGCTGTTAAATTCTCCTGTAAAATTATGTAGAGCTATTATGGGTGCATCTCAGTGAGGGGTTTTTCTTACCTACATCCACAAGAGTATAAATAATCCATTTTTGTTTAAGCAGAGAGGGAGGCTGAGGTACAGGTCAGATGGATGATTTGTGAAATGCAGACTTAAAACTCAGGAGATGAACTTCATAAAACCAGCAGCCCTAAAAGCAAATTCACTTTTTGCTTTGTAGCTCTAGGGTGCGATTGGTTAGACTTTGTGCTCACTGATCATTTGTAATGACTTAACATAACTGCAAGTAGCAACTAAATGAGAAAACCCTCCTTTCTGTAACACTTTCCCTTCTCAACTACTTACGGACAGCAAACTCTGCAAATGAGCATCTGAACAGTAATGGGAAATCCAGACATGTTTTTCTCCTTCTTTCCTTCATTAACTGGTATTTTTATGGTATGCAGTCAGGTGTTGTTTCAGAAAATGAGGTGCATCTCCTAAGAGTGCAACATGTCTGAATTAAATTGTGGATTCCGCTTTGTTTTGTGAGTTCTGTTTTCTCTTTCTCCTCTGTCTTCCCTATTGTGTGCTAATTGCCTATACGTATTCACTGTGGAAAGCCAAGCCTAACCCTGACTCGGTCTGTCTGTCTGTCTTGCAGCGTTCTGGACGGGTGCTCAGCCCAAGGACAGTGCCTGACACGGAGCTGAATGACTCTGATTTGTATTTAGCAGCTCGGCTTCCTGCAGTCCCTTCACAGCCTCTGATGAAGTAAGCCTGATGTTTATGAAAGCTTAGGCTATGCATCTCTAATAGTTAGTCTAAAAGGTGCAAATCTAGCCTGTCTTCTGTCTGGCTGAGAAGCCACAGACCAGTCTAGGGCCATCAGGTTTGATTCTCTTGACTGCCGGCTCAACCATGGAAAAACAAACTCTTTATATAGAATATATAGAATATCTTCTATTCTATATGTAGAATATATAGAACCCTTACAGGAGAAAGGGGCTAAAGTCTGTATAAATAGCACTCGATAATTTGGATGCAGGCATGGAGCAGGGCAAAGGCTCTGCAAGGGAATGGAGATTGCATTTAAGGAAGGCTACTTATCTGCAGAGACAAGGCAGGCTGTTGCCTCGTGCAGTTAGGAGGGCCTCTGCCTAGCCTGAAATGCTGACAAGCCCTCAGAGTTATAGAAAGGATGATTTCAGGCTAGGGAGGGCAGTGCTGTCTACTGCTTTTCTAGGAGTAAAGTCCTTGGCAAAGATACTCATCTGCTAAACCTGTGTTCCTTGCCTTCCTGTCACATTGTCTCTCCAGGGCTTAAACTGGAAGTCTTGGGATGCTGCGGAGGCCTGTTGCATTCGGACACGCTGGTTCCAGGATCTAGGGGGGCAGGTTTGCAAGGTCCCACATCCCAAGGAAGGGCTCAGGCGAGGATTGTGAACCCGGCTGAGAGTACCTACAAGCCCAGGGACCCGCTTCTTTTCCAGCCCAGCTGGTTTAGAAGCCAGGGAGCTGCTGGTTGAATCCACTCAGTATAGACCCATCCTCCACTGATGTTGTGCCAGGATAAATTTAGGATGGTCATTCTTGTGTAGGAGTGAATTTAGGCTGTCAACTCACTGAACTCCATGCCCCAATACATAGGATGGCAAAGGGAGCAGGATGGAGCTGTAATCCAGGGTTTCATACTGGGAGAAGGGGCTATGTAAACTCTATGGGATAACTTCAGAACTGAGCAATGGACTGGGTGACAGTAAAATTAGTAGGAGCCTGAGATGGTAAATGATATAGTCCCTTCTGTCACAAAATGTTGGATGGCTGCAGTATGTGCTGCACTGTGACAGCTTGGAAGTCCTAGGTGTCCTGAGATTTGTGGCAAGAAATATCTTTCAAGAAGAATTTATAGTGAAGGGAGTTTCCAAAAGAGCTTCCCCCTCCACCCCCACTACTTGTTATCTTTGCTTATGCTATCTTTAGCTTGTGGCCACAAAAACCCTATTGCTAACAACATTGAAACTACATGTTTCCTGGAAGGGGCAGAGGAAGAATTGGGCCTGTTTTAGTTGGCGGGCAAACAAACTACTCCAGCCAAGAAGGCTGTGGTGGGGGGAAGTCTTTCTGCAAAACTGGTGCAGACTTGGCCATGATAATTAGTTGCTGCTGGTTTGTACACTTAACAGTCTGAAGAGAGACAGGCAGCATGGTCTGACCACAGAGGTAAGAGCTAAGGACAGTTGGTTTTTATGCCTGGCTCTGTCAAAGCCTGGTTGTGTTTGCTTAGGGTCAGATTGCTGAAACTAGTACGAACAGCACAAAGTGAATTTAAAGTTGTTGGAGATTTGGACCACAAAACTTCCCCGGTGGGAGGAGCCGGGGTACCTGGCACTCTGCACCAAATGATGATGATGTCTTGGGGTCAGACTGGAGCCTGTCTGGGACAGGTCGTGGATGCAATGGGTTTGTGGTGAGCCCGAGCTTCAGGGCACGTGAGCACTTGCAGGTATCAATTCCATTGCACCAGCAGAAATTAGATTAGGCCTCTGGTGCTCTGGGCTAGGGCCTGGCAGCCAAAGCTGAAGTAAATACAACTGCCTCCCTGAGGCTCCCAGTCCCTTGTGTCCCACTGCAGTTTAGACCTAATGGAGAGTGAGGGCTTTGTCCTTTTAATACAGTTCCTGGCCCTGGTGCTGTAGCGTGCCAGTCACGGTAATTCAACCCAAAAAGGCAGGACTACAATGCCCTGTCCCCATTGGAATTTATTTCAGGTAGGGGCATCCAAAGGGGTGCTCTACAGGAGTGCTACCAGCACCACCTTCTGCAACACATCTGACCTCCTATCCCTCCCCATGTTAGCAGAAGGAAGGTTTCAGTGCAGTCTGCAACTGCAGGCTTGCTTTCTGGCAGGCTTTCCTCCGCCAGCATTGACTCCAAGAGAAGCTGGTGAAGGCCATGGCATGAATTTAGCCCTTTCTGGCTGTGTTTCTCCATCTGTCAGACAGACACAGTCCTCTACTTCACAAGGGTTTTGTGAGGATTAATTAGTTAATGTGTTTACAGTGCTAAGTATGATTTATTATTTAAAGATCCTTAAGCATAATATTTCCCTCTGCTACTCTAAATTCCTGGGGACCACACGCACTCTCTAGCGCCTGGCTGCAGCAGTGAGAGCGAAGTCCTTCGCACTATTTTCAGACAGCTGCATCCCACGTCAGGTTTGCTGCTGACTCGGCAGATTCTCTAAGGGTTGCCTCAGGATGCCTGAAAGCAATTTTAGCACCGTTGCACTGAATTCTCCTGAGCACAGAAATTACTAGGAAGGAAAAAAGGTTCCTTTTTCAATTTAAGCTTTATATATTCATAAAAAATAAGTGTTGGTAAATTTGCACCTTTTACAGCTCACTGCTAAATATGTACTATTTCTAATTGTTTCCATTTCAGCCATGACTTGCGGTGTTATAGAACAGTGATTCTCAAACTTTTTTGTATCGGGACCCATTTGTAAACGTCGATGGCCAGTCCCGACCCAGCGCCCCTCACTCCCAAACCACTGCCCCCGAGTCCCAACCCCCCAGTTTGTGGGGCAGCAGCAGGGGGCGGGAGCGGGATGGGGGGACCCAAGCAGCCCCTTACTGGCTGGATCTCCACCAGCCTTCAAGGGAAAAGCCACAGTTCCCCACATTTTTCTCCTTTATAGGAAATCCATTTTTAAAGTTTGTTCATGACCATTTCATATAGTCTTGCAGCCCACTTTTGGGTTGCGACCCACGGGTTGAGAAACGCTGTTATAGAGCACCCTCCCACCCAAAGGATTTCAGCCGAATTACTTGCAATTTTAACTTGGAGTGAGAGAGGAGTCACACCCTGTTGTGTATATATAAGCCACAGGACTGAGATCACTCACTAATGAAATCCAGCTGCCTCTGGAGCAGAACACATACACGCTGTTTTAACAAGGTACAGAAAAGTCTTAGCAGTCATTTTAAGAGCAAAGAGTACTATACCCAGTTGGCATTGTTTGAGGAACCTGATGAAGTTGCATGACATGCAAGATCAGTTTATGTGCCAGCCATTCTCAAGAGATTTTCTGTGATTGCATTAGTAGTGATTTCTGTAGGGATATGAGATATCTGAGCTATAACTTGTATGCAGTATGTAGTCACCATTTTAATTATGGCTCCCTGGTGTCCAAGTAATTCTCCCACCCATAGTCTTCCTCAACCCCTGAGAAGACTCTTACGCACAACATGGGGGTTCCCTCCCTTCTGCAATCATCTCCCTCTCCATCCTCATCTGCACTGTCTTACTGCTTTCCATAACACTAGAAGCTCCTTCTTCCCCATTCCCACCTGCTGTGGTTCCCTCTCACCCTCATCCCTAATACTTAAGACTGACCCAGGTACCTCTCAGAGTATCCACATGCAAATCTTGTATCTAATAATGACAGAAGATGCCCAGGATCCAGAAAAAGACTCACAGGTCACCTTTTCATAGGGACTGACTTCACATGCTCTTGAAATCTAAAACGCTCCTATTATCTTGCCATTTAAATAGAGTACCTTTATAAATAAGTCGATCATAGCACATCATGCAGCAGCGTCCATACAGTGCCTCTCTTTGTTACAGTGATCAATCAGAGGTTTACAGAAATGATAACTTGCACATTAAGGCAAGGGCCAGCTGTAAGGTCAAGGTCTAGTGAAGGCAGAGCTTGAGGGAGATGGGGAGAAGAAGAAACTCACAAGGACTTGGGAGAAAGAGGTTCTTCTGCTCAAGAAAAGAAGACAAAGAGAGCCCCTAAGGAAATGAGGCAAGGGACCAACAGCCTCTGGTTGTCAGAACAGAAGTGGCCTAATAAAAATGAAGCAGAAATAGATTCGGTCTGATTTTAATCTTGCTTACGCCAGGGTAAATCAGGTCAGACTCACACAGATGTAAAATCAATGTGTAACTGAGAATAGAATTGGGCTCGGGACACTTGGGGCTATTTTGGGGCAGTTGCTTAAGGCAGGACATTGCTTAGTAAGGGCAACTGCATATAGTGGTTGTATAGTACTATTAAAAATCAAGGTGTGGGGAGGGGAAGGGGAAATTCAACAGTGTTTTCTGCAGGGCAGCTTTCCTGTTCACCTTGAGGGGATGTCCACGTAGCTGTTTGTCTAGGTCTATTCCGGATCCATTGCCCTTGTACCTCAGGATCTAGTTTACCAAATGTGTTCATCCAAGTTCAGTTACCAGCAGCCTCTCTTGCTCAAAGCCCAAGGGTAACCGAAGATGACTAATCCTCCATTCTGAAATGGAAACAATTGGAACAGCCCCCAAAACTAACTGCAAAGGGTTTTAGAGCCAAAATGTTTGTGTCTTGCAGTTTTGTTTTTACTGATTATTAGCGTTTTGGAAAAGTTTCTTTAGGCAATTTATCAACGACTGTTTAAACTTGCATTAATAATAGCAGCATCTGGCTAATTATTATTATTAGGCTATAAGCCATTGTCCTTTACTGTATTCTTAAATGAAACAGGCGAGTTCCTGAAGTTGAAAGGCTATGATTTCCACTGGCACGGAGCACAAACCGAGCAAGAAACCTGGCACCATAGGGCCTCCTTTGAACAATGGGACTGAAAACAGTAACACCCTGCTGTACAAACCAAAACAGAGGGTTGGTCTAATGTCTAATCAATTCTGAAATGCACCAAGGACCTGGCTCCTGAAATGCCTTGACAGTCGGAAGCAGAGCTCTGGAAATGAACACAAAGGCAATACAAGGGCATGAAAACGGGAACCTGCTCCCGGTAAGTAACTTTAACTGTAGATGAACTGAAATCCAGAGATCAACTCCAGAGGAAACCTACCTAAACAAGAGCTGAAACGTATGAAGGAGATATGGAAGGCATGTTCGATGCAGTGGCAGAATATTTAGTCACACCAAGCAGCATGGAAACATCTTATGGCCTCAATGAAGATATATTGCTTTTACATGATGGTCCTACTTGAGATTATGTAAATAGGGGTATCCTGACAACTGGAGAGAAAAATGAGTGACTTAATATCTACTTTACTTCAAAAACTTACTTATCCTGATCTTAAAGGATATAACTAACGATAAGCTGAGAAAAAGACTATAATGATGTGGTATTATTAAGGGTTTGGGGGTTTGGTTTTGTTTGTTTTTTTTTAAGTAGGGGATTACACTTAGAAATTTGCCCAGGGCACAAGGTGGATCCAAATCTTCACAAAGTTAAGTTGACTCTCACTGAAATTTAGGAGCCTATTTGTCTAAAATTATGGACATACAAACAATTTGCCACTCGTAAAAAGGAATGGGATTATTTGCCACTCGTCTGCTGCTCTGCTATAAGTGTCCCAGGTGCACTTTTACCCCAGTGTAGGTGGAAATTAAACTCTGGTAACTTGTCTCACTCACCAAGGGCTATGACACTGAAGTTTAGCTCCTCTTTCCACTTACTACTGTGGAGTAGCCGATGTAGAAAATCAGCATTGCTACAATACAGCCCATGGATCCATGCCCCTTAGACTGCAAGGCTCATCACAGGTCTGGAAATTGAGCAGTGTGGAGAGTGGGTGTAGTGCTAATCGGAGTGTGAAGCTGTATTGTCTGGCTCGCAGGACCAGAAAGCTGGCCGCAGGAGGAGCGATAGCTGCCATGGTGGTGGGAGCTGCAGCAATTAGTACCTCTGCCAGATTCCAGCTGTGAGGGCCAGATGACACAGCCCTGTGCCCTGACTCTGGCCCCATGCCACACAATGGGCCCATGGGGCCCATTGTGTGGGGCACCACTGCAGTAAATTGTTTCCCCGCTTTCTCCTGTGGCAAATTGTCCATGTCGCAAGGCACTTCTGAAAGTGGGATTTAGGCTCCTAAAATTGCCCAGGTGCTTGAGAAGCCTTCAGCACCTTCACTGAGAAAGATGAAACAAAGAACGAGGTCACAGTCCAGCGAGTGAATTAATTGTTCTGCCTCCCGAAGAGTCAGCAGGTTGGTGTAGATTGGGTCAGCTGGTCTTGTGAAGCAGGCTGCTGATCACACCTGGCTCACCTGAGTCCACTGGAGCCTGGGAGGCAGCTCTGGCCTGGTCTCAGACCCGCCAGAGACCGAAGACTCAACAGTGAGTGCTGGGGATGAGTCCATTGCAGTCTCACTAGGAAATGTCCAGCTCTGATGCAAGTCAGTAGACTCAGGTGGGCAGGGCATGCTCAGTCCCCCGCTCCCTGACACCTGCTGCTGATGTGGCACAAGCCCAGCGGAGCCCTGAGCAGATGGGAGGCTTTGCCTGCATGGATCCAATAGCAAAATCCAGGCCTAAGATTGGATGCAGTATGGTGAGTGAGGACAACAAACACTGGAAACAGGAAAGAAAGATACAGTTCTTGCTAACTAGCAGCTGAATTGCTTATGTACCTTTCAGACTCTTGAATATCATCTTGGGTTATTATAACTATTACTGGGAGGCATCTGGAGGGGAGGAGGGAGGAAAAACAAAGAAGTCATTTTCCAGTATTATCCATCCCGAGGCTCCGGAGTGGTTGACGTTTCAGTTATCTCCGGCAGTTTCCTTGTTTTCAGAACAAGCGTATGATATCACATCCTGAGCCCTTCCCTTTTCTCCTTGCCCTTTGAAGCATTACAAGTCCAGCCACAGCCACTGCATGAACTGGCCTGGAAGAGCTGATTGCACGGAGCTGCTCTTGCTACTGCCTGCCTGCCTCACTCGTGCTCTTTCGAACACGGTAACAAGAGGACAAGCAGCCCTTCTGAGCACGGTGAGCAACAACTAATTAAGCAAATGTTTTCTCTGGGTTGTAAAACTGCATCGTGAAGAATGCACAGACGTAAACTTGGTTGCATATAGGCTGGGGCAGTTCATGAAAATGAAATGAAAACAGCTCACTTTCATTTTTCATTATGGAAGTGAAAAAGGAACAGTGGCGTTTCCTGACACAATAACTGAAAGTGGGAGCCGTAGTGGACGTGTTGCCCAGTGTCCAGAGCCTGAGTCATTTGTGGGAGGAATGGGACACATTTGAGGTCTAAGATGGCATGCCATTCGTTGGGAAGAGATGAAGAAAAAACTATTGCTTCACTGTTTATGCCAAGCTCTGGATAAAAACTTTGCAAAACCATTGTATGACAGGCACCTCTTTATTGATATGCTGAATCTCCCTAGATTTAATAAGCTTAATAGTACTAGATGGAAGTAAACACAATAAAAGGGAAATAAAAAGGCCATTTTCCTCTGCTAATCTTGGTTCATCCCAAAAGCATACAGGCTGAGCAAACATATTAAGCATGAGTCACTGACTCTCCTTCACATAACTACAGCATCTTTTTGTTTCCTCTGCACTTACCTGGATCTAGGGCTAATTTCGAGCATTGGAGGATCGAAGTGTAAATGGTTCTGTTCTTGGCCTGGGGACTATGACCTCATAAATTAGGTGCCTCTACGGGGCTAGATACATTGGAAATACAATAATAGCTACACCCAGCATAAGAGATGTTTTAGTGAGGACAAGTAATCAACCTGCATTTACCATTTCCACAGAGCCACGCTGCAGAAGTTATTTATTAACACAGAGCTTTGCTTTCTCCAGAAGAGACATAAGCTTCACATCGCTCTTGGTTTAGCTGCTTAGCTTCAGGCCAGCACTTCCCACTCACGTTCAGTGAGACTGCACACAAAGTAAGGGGCTCAGTGTGAGTATGGTGGAATAGACTTTACAATGGCAGATTCATATCCTTGTCCAGATTTTAAATATCAACATTCAGTATTAGCTTGTAACTGCTATGTCAAATGTCCAACTCAGCCCTGATGCCATTAAAGCATCCTCTTACTAAAAGCTGGTGAGACCTGCACTCCTTATAGTACCAAATACCAGCTGGACTAACACCAAATTTCCACTTTTCCTTCAGAACCTGCAAAACCAAAGCGGATTGCATGCCCTGATCATGGATAATACGCAAATGCTGTTGTGTTTTGTGTAGGACCTACTAAAAGCTGGTATTTCTGTGAGTGAAAGGGAGGGAACAATAAATGTGGCTAAATTTGGG